GAAGTATTACCTATCTGACGCGAATCATCAAACGGATAACCCGTCTCACACAAATAATCCGTCTCTAGTGTGAAAACGGCCATTTCTGTTATAATGAATGTCGCCCCTTGGTCTTGAGTTGGGCGTTTGCGTGTCTACTCTTTCTTTTTCACAAAGATTATTTTTAAATTGACTATTGACATTTCTATGTGTAAAATTATATTAGAAGAGAAATACTTTATAAAAAGTATGATCTATCAAATGTTAAAATTTTTCAAAAGAGTAGGTTGTTTCATCCCGAGATGATCCAAAGACCTTTATTTTGATTTGAAAATACAAAAAATACAGGTTGATTAATATTTAACTTTTTGAAACAAAAGAAGTTAATTTTTAACTTTTTTGTTAACCGTAACTGAAAAAAATTCACCGATAGCCGTAAAAGAGCCAAAATTTTAGCCGATAACCGTAAAAGCCACCACCCCATTGAGACCCTCTATATAGCGGTCACCCAGCATGTAACGGTCATTTTGCCATTTCCAAGGAGTGACCGTTCTACACAGGTCTGACTGTAGTACATAAAGCAATTAGGGACGGACCATTAGAAAAGTTATGGGGGGGGGGGGGTGGTGGGGAATTTTTGAGCAGCAGGAGATGCCAGTGAGCCTTTTTCTATGAAAATTGCCTCGACGCAAGCTACCAAGTTTGTATTGCTAAGTGTCTTTACCTGAAAAAGGTGATTTGCCAAAAAATGTTAATATCACGGCTCAAGTGCAAAAGTCCACATCTGGTTGATGTGTGACATTGCACGCGCCTTCCGACTGAGTCGTTTGCCCGACAGACCTACCGACCCTGTTTACGACATTTAACTTCCAGTCCGTCCACTTCCGACAATCTTTTTAACTGGTGGAAAATTTTAAGACAGGTTCAGACAGGAACAAGACAAAAACTTGAACGTATGGTAGAAATATATTTTTGCTTCCCTGTAACAAATACAGAAAAGCACGATTAACAGCACGTACCACAACTTATTTTCATGCACTTTTCACCTTGTCAAAAAAAACTACTTTTTTTCAAAAGCACCCATTGGTTGCATAAGAGCGCAACTTGATTCGATGATAATTTATCACGCTCGGTGGTATATCCTTTACCTTTAGTCTGCGCGTTATAGCGAAGAAGGCATATAAATTTAAAGAAGCGCTCGGCAAGACTTAACGGCTGTCTTTGTCTTTCCAAAAACTGACTTACAAGGTGACGTAGGAAGTTTCTGGACTATAACTGGCTTTCAGCTGAAGACTCTACAATGCCATTGCTATATTTGTTTGAGACTACCTTTGAACACCGTGGAGTGACTTCTAAGGAGCTTTACAATCTTTGGTTAAAGCATACTGGCCCTGACTTCAAATTCGAGAAGAAGGATTGATAAAATACTCCTTCAAGGTAATAGTGTCATATACCGGCTTTATAAGAAATCTCACTGCCATTGTATACGCTATAATTTCTATCTGTAATTCAACTAATAAAAAAACGACACTTCTACCGTGCCCCCGAGACATCTTTTTGCTATATTAAGCTAACCTTATAACTTTTTTAATCAGAGTGATACATACTAAAGAACTACAACAGGAGGCTGTATTTATATAGAAATACGTCATGATTACTAAAATGTACTATCCCAAATGGCTGTCTAGGACGAAAGCCCTTTTGAAATTACAGTGCGTGCAAATGTTCTAGTAAACCCTCCAAGGAAAAAAAAAGCAAAACAAAACAAAACAAAAAACAGCTCTAGATGGTTCTCGATCTTAAGTAGTGCGTCAGGCACGAAATAATGTCACGCTTTGGACAGGGTGGTTTCTGTAAGTATTCTAATTCTTATAAGCCCTTCACATGATTCAGGCCTTCCTGTAAAATTTTCTTAATTCGATTTTCTCAACAATGACCGTTATGCCGATAAGGATGAGGACTTTAAAAACAAAAAAAAGAACTTGGTCAATGTACACGCGGTCATTTTGACCTCACGCTTAGTCAATTACGCATTTATACATGCTGCAGATTAGGCGTATTACTGGTTTTCAGGGCAGAACACCAATAAAATGATCTATCACTAACGAACATCTCCGCCCCAGTCCTCATGGGTGTCACCTCCCCCCTCCCCACCCCCCTCCTGCCGGGGGGATTTATTAAAGTCCCCAAATTTAAATAATAATCATTTTCGTTTTCTTCAAGTATTTCCTTACTTGTGAATGATAAGAGGAAACTGCTCTCAATATTAATAAACTCATGACAATAGAATTCGTTCGGATTGCTTGTAAAATTTTCTGAACCGAAGTTACATATGTAAGAAAGCCAGCCAGCAAGTAGAAGGTTGTGGAATTTGATACCTACAAGTGTCAAGTTGCAACTGTATAAACCTGCTGTCCTCCCATATTTATTTAAAGCATATGGTGACATAAATTAGTGCGGAATTTCTGAGGTAAAGTTAGCGATTCTGGAAAAATCGAGAGGGTAGATGTAGGAGAGGGGTCCCAGGGCTATTTATTGTGATAATAATTCATCTTAATTTTTGGACACTCCTGGGAAGGGTTAAACTGTACAAACTTTGTAGCATAGAAGCTTGCAAGACACAGCAATATTAATGTTTGAAGAAAGGAGGAGCTTATGCCCGGATTATATAATTAGATTATTTTCTGCTAATACAACACTGATTCTTAATACAATTTAAGAATTAAGAAATTGTGATTCGTAGGGTTAATACCACTGGCTATGGCAAATATTCCGTTACATAATTGGGACCATTACTCTGATCCAAATTAGATCGGCTAAGGTAAGGAAACAGCCTTCTTTAGATACTTTGAAGAATTTAATAAGGGAAAAATTAACTGAAAATCTAGGTACGTTTATTTCTGCGAATGACAGCGTAAATTGCGTCCAGTGTAATTTTTAGAATTTCTTTTTGTATTCAGGTGTGTTTCCTTGTTTCATTTTTTTAGGTTTTATACATAGGGTTGTTACTTTATCTGATTTCTATTTGTGTTTTTAAGTTTTTGTTTTAGTTAGTTCTTTGAAAATAGGAGTGTCCTTACTTAGTGGATAACCAATATATTTATTTTAGATACAGAAATAAACTAGATACTGTATTCCTAATGCAACAGCGAATGACGCTTATAATAATAATATTTTCCTTATTTGTTTAAACTTTCTTTTTTTAGGTTGCTGGAGAAAAGACTGTCGTAGGAGGTAAGAAGATGAGGACTATGTTTAAGAAAAGGCAACTTATGAAACGTTTACTGCACGTCATCAGCGGTTGGAGATTTAAATATATCAATAACGTAATGGTCAGGGAGTTAATGCCCTACATGATATAGCAAAAGTTGATTGCATTTTTATTGTCCTGCGGAAACACTAATTAAGCAACAAAATCTATCCAGGCATTAACTTCCAAATTCAGAAGCCTTAGCTACACCTACGTAAATGAGCCTATGATTTTGGACACCGGATCATGAATTTGAACACGGCTAAATAGCAGTTTGACCTGATCGTGCTACAGTTTTCGCATAACTTAGGCAGAAGACAAAAGACGGCTTTTTACAATTTCTACTGCTCATACTAGAGGTGTCATAGCAGTTGTCTAGAGGCGCCGGCTGTGACGAGGAGGATTTTGTGTGCCTTCCGGCTCAAGATTCAGGTCATTGTTATACTGGCCTTTTTGCCAAGTGAGCGTAAGGCAAAGATGGCATCCGTACACCCTCCGCCCTTTCGGAATCCTATCTGTGCATTGCTCAACAAGGACCGAATGACAACCGAATGAGGGCGCGCTGTAACTTGATTGAAAAACTCCACGTCTGTAAGGGAATCCGGATTCCTCTTGCTTGCGGAATTCGGTATCCTGGGGATTGAAATCGTGAATACAGCTCAATGAAACCGGAAACCTACTAGAAATTGCAATCCGGAATTCACCATCTGGAGTCAGGAATCCAATACCCATGAAATCCGGAATCCACACCTTGGCAACTAGCATCCAACACTGTCCTGGATTTTCATATATAGGGCAAATGATTATTTGAAAATACAGTTTAAAAACCTACGTTAGACCCAGCACGTTTTATTGATCTGACAGCCTGTCCTTGTCTTTTCAGTGATGTCGGTGGAGTCCCCTGGAGTGCTGGACACGTTCTTTGCTCAACTTCCTTTATACCAGGCCCTTGGAGATCAGATCCATACACGGTTCACTCCCCTGAGGTCGTATGAAGGATTCGCCACAGATCTCAGCGAGAGAGCTGGCAGCGATACAAAGTTCGAGGAAGAAAAAGAAAAAAAGGAATTAAAGGAAGGCCTCTTCTATATTGTCACCTCTAGCGTAGAGTTTGATCCAGGTACTATGTGTGCTAGTCCCAGGGGGCTTGCATCAGGGTCCACCGCGCGGTCAATCGTCTGAGGCATCTTTTCCTTGATTATTCACTGGAATTTCATGAACCGTAAAAATAAAAAAAACATGGTCATGGATGTATAAAATAATTAGTCAATGGAACCATCTTTTCATTTTTCTCAAAAGTATCAGCTTCTTTTCGCTGAAAACGCTTCGCAGCTGAGTAAAACAATGGTTCCGACAATAATTCCAGCTTTCAAACTTTTTTTAGCAATCTGTCAAAACTTAAGTAAATTTAACAGTGTATTGGTAATGTATCAAAACTGAAATATTGGCAGTAAAAAACTTTGAAGTACTTTGCTCGTTTGACGCCTTGACGATACCACGTCTACGGGTGGATCTAGGTGCGTATAAGAGACAATAGAGACATTTGCAATGACGTTTACGGCAAACGGCAATGGCAGATTCAAGTTGAGAATTTCTTAAAATAGAAAACGTGCAGCTAAAAACAGTCCAAAAGAATTGTTATAGACAAACCTAATGTAAAGCTACTAATTTTGAGGTAGAAGTAATAAACGGGTAAGCACAAGCTAAGGGACAACTTGGTCACGTGGTACAAATTGCCGTAAACGTGACTCTAAATATCTCTAATGTACGAAAGGTCGCGCGTGCGCGTGAAGTGTCCATAAACGTAAACGTTGAGCGAGGTTCAACTTTTAAATTACGCGACTGTGAAAATCCACCCTCTCAAGCCAGGGATGCTGGTTTTTAAACTAGCCATTGGCCATGTAGCCTCCCACGCACGCCATGATATTAGCTCGGTGTTGTGTCGCATTGCACCATGGGATTGTTTTAGGGACGCTATCACTTCTTTTATTATTGGATAATGCGAGATTGCGCAGGAAAGTACAGTAGAACCGCGGTACTCGAACTCTGAAGGGAAACTGAAAACAGTTTGAGGTAGCTAAGGGATTCGAATTATCCGAGCTCGAGTTATCGGGGTTCTACTGTGGGTCAAATTCTTGCCACCCGCAATACAATAAGAAATTGTTCCCCTCGACACAACATCAATCTAGTTACAAGGGCAGCTCATTGTGGCCTATCGATCAGTTAGGATTTAGACTATTTCTCACCTGCCACTCGAAGTTTGAGCCCAATTTCTCAGTTTTCAGTCTTCTCTGCAAGACATTAAGATTCAGTTAACAAAAAAGATAGAAACAGTAACACTGTGTTTTTCTAACCTAACAGCCCTGATGACGCAACAGGATTTTCTCAAAGCCTGGGCCGAAGAGGCCAAAGTAGCCGTGGGTGCGAAAAAATTAGGAACCTTGCTGGACTTATGGAAAGTGGTCGCGGAAAAAAAGGTAGCAATTTGTAGTAACTGCATGAGCCCATAATCAGAAGTGAGCCACTCCCATAATAGGGTTAGATGTCACGTATTTTTCTCGGACCGGTTTATTTTTAGCTACATTTTAGATGTTTAGAGCACTTTTTCTCCGAAAAGGGAAGCTCCGCTCGATCTTTGAGTGCACTTTGTCATTTTGGGGCTAACGAAGTCGCGCAAATGAGTCTTATCAACGCTGGTGGGCCAAGCGATGCCCTTTCTTCTCTTATTCGGAGCTTATTCAAATTAAGCACACGTTCATTTGAATTTTCCGCTTCGGCGGTCATGAATAACTAATTAATGGTGTCCACTCATTCTGTGCTATGACGGCTCGATGTTAGGAATAAAAGGAACAAAACTCACTGTCCTTGTTAGCGGTTGCGTACGGGTAGTCACACCTATAAACAGTAATTTGACTGTGAAAATCTCACTTACCAGAGGTGGTCGCACATAGAAGTTCCACTGTAGTATGAGAACTGATAGAGGCTCCATATATAGACTCCACTGGTGGGACTTTCTTGCGCACATTCTTAATTGCAGGAATTTTAATTATTTCCATTGTCATATTTGTTTTAAATTTGTAAAGTTCTACTTTTGTATTGTGCCAACAGGTCATATTACTTTTTTGAGTTCAGGATCCAGCAGAGCTCGATAGAATGTCTTTAGACCTGCCGATCGCAAAGAAGACGGGAATCATAGTCCGTCAGCAGTGCAAATCAATAAGACCGATAGGGGAATGGGCCGAGGACCTTAAAAAGCTTGCAGAGTAGACAATGAATACGTAATAATAGTTGCTTGGTGATATATCAACTTCTGATTAAAATCGAAATAACAAGTTCAACCTTTATAGAAAGTGACACTCGTACACCAACCCACGGCCTAGCCAGTACCTAGCGCATGCACACAGCCATAACACCCGGGCAGTGGCAGTTATGGACAGCTGTTTCTCCCTTATTGTCTTTGTCCGTTGATAGGCCTGACGGCTATACCACGCTGATGAGCCCCAATAAGACCGGAGCAGCTGTCCATGGCTGCCACTGTCCGGCTGATATGGCAGTGTGAATGCGTTATTAGGCACTGGCAGAAGCCTATGATGGGCTCCTGGGTCGGCTCGAACCTCGTTCCCAGGGTTCTCTCCTTAGGGCGGGTAGGAGAAAACCCTGGGAACGAGGTTGGGTCGGCTCCTGGTTCTGGCCAGGTCGTGGGTTGGTGTAAGTGCGTCACTGTCAATTAAGTTTGTCTTAAGAAGTGCAACTATGACGAAAATGCGTTTGACATCTGTGAGTGTTTATCAAAACTAGAATCATTTATTTTTTCTCTCTTTGAATTATTGACTCGGACTGCCATGGCAATTAAGAATGCTTTGGCAGGAAATAGAAGAACCCTTGGTATTCAGTTTTTAGTTTTATTCATATTATTTCTGGTGACTCTATATTTTGGGTCTTAGTATTCGAAACGAAAATTGTCACCGACTTGATTGCGAGCTCGACATTTGCTTAGTTAATAAAATTACTCACAAATTTGTTAGAGCACAGGTAACTGGTAGGCTCTGTTCTAGTACAACAGTATGAATCCTGAGGAATTACAGGGTGTCTGTATGGGGTAAAGGTACGATCTTAAAATTTATAGGAAATACCAAATAAAAGTCAATGAAACTTTACTCAGCAGTTAGTTGCCATGTTGTCCTTAATACTCACATGAACTGTCATGAAACATGGTCAAAATTTTCGTACGTTTACTAGAATGCTCCGACCGTGATCACAGTTGCCACAGAAAGTGCGGCCCGCATGGCAGATTTCAGAACTGATAACTTTAATTCATGTTTTCAGGGTGAAACACCTATTTACTGCTGTGAAGAGATTAAATGGTGAAAGCTACGTATTGACCACGGATGAAAACTTTTATTTGCCGCGCCTGTCTTTGTATTGACTAACAAAAATTTTTAAGATTGCCAAGTTAGGCAAGGATGCCGGCGTAAAAAAATAGCTAAAATAGAGATTTCGGGTAAAATTGAGAACGAAACGGTCGGCCCGACCACTTTGAAGTGCTCCCAATTTGCTGGATATTGTACGTGATATTATATAGATTCTTATTATTTGATTGACTTTATTTGCATTCATTTGCAAAGAGTGCATTTTTGCGTTAGCGCAATAACGACCGTGTCAGTCGGGGTTGTCAAGGACACATTTGAATCGAAAATGCAAATTATAGCGGCTTTTATATCTTTTTTTGAAGTTATTCATCGAACGTTGGCATTTACCATTCGATGAAACAGTGAGTTTTGAAAGGGGATATTCAAACAAACTTGCTGGAACTTTTTATAAGGGATCATTCGCTGTTGTTACGTCTCAAAATGAGTTTACTCTACTTGATCAAGCTCACCGTTGAATATAAAGGAATACCTCAGAAACAGTTTATTCACACCTGGTTAAAACAAGCAGAGGAGTCTTTGAAAGCTAAAGAAGACGGCAAAATACTACAACTTTGGAAGGTAACTGAAACTGTCCAGTAGATTTCTTTCAATTGTTTCTAACCTTTATTCAGGCCTAGAATATTAATCAATCTATTGATAGTTCAAAAGAAATAACTTAATTTGTTGCCTAGATTCTTTTTAAACATGTACAGCAAAACAAGTGGTATTTCATAAAATATTGATTTACGAAAGTACCATCGAGAAGGTTGACTGCTGTGGACGTGTTAAAAAAAGATTCACCTTAATAGTCGTATTTATCTCTAGATAGTGACATCGGTGGCAAAAAGGTCAATATTAAAAATTTTAATTATAATACAAGTAGCTACGACGAAGAGCTTGAAACCTGTTTGACGAAAACGCTTGCCGCAGGGCAGTCAATTAACTAGGCGCTACCTATTAAGCGGTCACCCTCTATCGAGAGGTAAAATATCATTAAAACGCTTCCCAAGATGGTCAAAAGAGGCGGTAAGATACCACGACGGCAACGATAGCGAAGACGTTAAGTGAGTTCGCGTTTCTTTCTCTAACTTTGTTGCCAATCCAGCTTATTAGAGATCTTTCTCATAACTCTAGCCTGCGTAACAGGCGCTTGGAAGTAGTGGGCGCAAATGAAGAACGGGCGCGCCACTCTCGTGCGTCCGTTCCTTCTGGCGCCCACTACTTCCAAGCGCCTGCTACGTACGCAGGTTATCGTAACTCCAACTAGAGCATCTATGGTGCAAATTAAAAGTCCACTATGTAAAATACGCGGTTTGTTTTCCCATGGGTAACTTTGCCTTATTAATTTGGGGCGCGCACGTGAGAATTGAACTTTCAAACAAAACACGAATTGTGTGACAGAAAGTATTAATTTTTATTGTGACTCATTAGCATATGGTGTTGGAGTTATGTGAAAGATCTATATTATCGATCTATTAAGCTCGATTTGTCAAATGTAAGCGAATTTCTCTGCAGATTAATTCTTAAATAATAATAAAAAATAATAATTCTTTAGAAACTTGTCAAGAAAATCCTTCGTAGCGTCTTAAGGGTCCTCCATAAAAATGCCGTAGTAAGCCTCGTCGTTTCCTGACTAATCGCCGGACTTCTGTGTTCCGTACTACCTAGAATTGAACTTGGAAACACAAGGGACTATTCCAAAGATTGGAGCATCGCAATTTGGACTCTGTTACCCTCTGTTACCCTTACTTTTTTTTTCGCTAACGGAGTGGACTTTATTAGTACCATTGAAAACGGCTTGCAAGATTAGCAGCTTGTTGGTTGTTTTATGTTTGGCTCCCGTTAGGGGTTAATTGCGAATTTGATCTAAGCCCATAAAATGTGATTCACTCCTTTTGTGGTTGTTTTAAACGTTCAACAAGCACCAACGTCATTTTTTTTTTTTGAAAATTACTCGAAAGAATCGTTCCAAGTCCAAAATTTTGAACCGTTACATGGGGGGTGGTGCATCGCCTGAAAGAGTAACTTTGTTGGTTCTTATTCTTGTATTACATTCTACTTTAGGTTGTTGGTGAACGCAAGGTACTTTATGGTGAGTTCTCTAAATAAACTTGACTTAAATTTTTGTCTTTAGATAAAATTCCTGTTGTAGTCAGGGGCTAGTCACAAAGCAGGACGTGAAAATTTTACGCTGATCAATACACAATATCTAAGATCAAGTGTTTTCTCCCAAACTGAGTCCTTACGAAAGAAAACTCTCCATTTCCGGCGGCGAGCAAGCGAAACAATCTTTGAGGGAATGCGCGTACGAGTGATAAAATCGTTCCCTTTCGCGTGCCACACGCGCATAACTTAAGTGTTGTTCAGGCTGCGCTAACGGACCATCTCCACTGAAGGCCGGGCCATAATTAAGGATGTTCCAGTTAACATGGAATAAACTTATAATGTAATACTGATTCTTTGCAGTAACTGAAACAAAGAAAAAAGACGCTGTTAGCATCCTTTTCACAATAGGACAACATCGTTATTGTGAAAATGAAACTGCATGGTTTTACTTTGCGGATGGTAAACCGGAAAGATTTTGGTTTTTTGGGCGCCACTCAATTTAGAGGTACCAATTCCAAAAGAGCAAACAATACACACTGCCACTGAAACGATTCAGTCGAGTCAAGGATAGTTTCCATCATTATTTTTGGCTTCATACTCCCGTGAAAAAGGCCCTAAACATGTACCTCAAAAGTAATGTTATTAGGGCAATTGCATTCTCGCCCTCATCCCGATCAGGTCCCTTCGTTTCTTGACCACGTGATCTTGAATTGAGGGGCTGCCACTGGTTCATTACAAATTGAGGCGAGTGGCTCTGGGGACGAGAATGCGGCAATTGAAGCTGAGATCAGATTTTGGAGATTTAATCCTTAACTTTGTGGATGACAAAACAACGTTGACAAAGAAAAATTTCTCCTCTGCTCATTTTTGTTGTTGTTATTTTAATTTTTTGCTTTCATTTGTCAGTTATGAGAGTAGACAATCCTGACGACATTGACAGAATGTCATTCAGCCTGCCGATTGTTAAAGAGATGGGAGACCAAGTAGAGTTAGAAGTGAAACCATTAAGAGCCTATGAAGCCTTTGCTACAGAACTGAATAAGAAGGTCACTGGAGAAGAGGACTCTTTTCAGGAATTACCTACAATCCCTAAGGCAGGATTGTTCTACTGGATAACTATTACGATCGAGTACCCAGGTAAAATTGGTGTTGCTCAGATAGAATGCTGGATTTATAATTATATACCTTTATACAGGTGTTGCTATGAGTATTGGTTACATACCCAGATAAGATTAGTTTTTCCGTGATCCCTTGTACAGTGAGGGCGCGGACCGACCAGTTACGCTGCTAAACCCTGCATGGGCCCTGTTTCACCCGTTTTAATGCCAAACTTCTTATCCTTATATAAACGGTGACGGTGAGAACATGGTGATGTCCTTTAAAACCTCTAGAACAAGGAAAACTTTGCTTCTTGGCTCCTTGAAATCGGAATTGACAGAAACTTACGTCAGCTCACCGCAAACATAAAAACTTAACCTTTTAGTAACTAAATTGAGTGGATTGTGTTAGAAAAGAAGTTTCTAGTTAAATGTAGAAATTACATTAGCGCACGTGTAAAGTATGGGATCGAAAACACCCGGAGGATTGTGGTCTTTAATCTGGCATATTAGAACTGACTGGTGCAATGTCTTTAATTCAAAATTAGTGAGGGGTAGGGTAGAATATCTGACCTAGCCGCTACAATGGCGTATGACAATAAATGCAGTTAAACGTTTATCTTATGAATAAAGTTTCCAAGGTCCCGCAAGGCAC